TTTATAATGGCAAATGATACTTTGAATATTACATGTTAATAACTTGATTGGAATTATAACCTTGAATTGACAGTTTGATACTTTGAAAATTTTGAGCCAGCCCTACCCCCAAGGGCTGTAGGGTGGGGCTCAAAGGAGTCAGTGTGCTAAAATTTCTTCATTTTCCTTGTTAAGAATCAGAGGTGCTAGTTTCAAATCCTTTTTAGTCTGAAATCTGTATGCTAGATATTGAGTAAGGTGGTTTTATTGTTTTTTGTCACTTTGAATAATATGTCTGTTCATGTTAAAAACAAAATCAACTCTCTGTATAAATATATCAGGTGACCGTTAAGGCCCATGGGCCTCTTGTTAAATATGCTCACTCTACCTATACCTGACTAATAAGTCAACAAGCTGCATTCATAATGTATGAATGACCATAGCTCATGCTGCAAGTACGTATACACTAATGCCTCGTCAATGTTAACTTCATTACTGGTACATTGTTCAGTAGGTGTCAATTCTTAACAAAAACAGTTGTCCATTATTAATTCAAACAGTTACTGTGTTTTAAGTAGGAGAAAAGACTCAATTAGTCCATTTTCCCACACAGAATGGACAGTTTTCGAGCCTCGATCTGTCAGTTTTCAGCCTTTCTCCTTTACTCATATGTGTATTTTTTTTATGCATGTTATACATTTTTATAATTAAAACATAAAATGGAAACTATGACCAAGAGTCCAGAGCTGACTCCAGCTCTTCTGTTTGTTTGCTAAAATTCATTTGACCTTCTAGAACTTTTAAGTGGTGTTGTGTTTGCAGATCCTATACCCTATACTACCCATTGCCCTGTATTTAAAAAAAGATGATTATAATTAATTATAACTCAAAGCAGATAAATCTTTGTTCATACAAGAATGACAAGGAATTTTATCAGTGTTAATTTTCAAAAAGAATTACAAAAACATTCTGAATTGACACTTAATTTTTTTTCCTCATAAAAAATTATTCAAAATCGAAAAAAATGATGAAAAGGGATATTGTATCAAAATGGACATATTTCTTTCTCTTTCAGTAGGACTTGTTCTGAAATCCAGATTTATCATTGTAGGGTTCACACAGCTTAATAGTAATTTACCATATACTATTACTAAACATTTAAATATTTGAAGTTCAACACCAGTGACAACTGTCTAGATAAATACATACATACATACAAAGGCTACAAAATGCTCAGAAGTTGACAACCGGACGGTTTGAAGCGAAACCGGTGACCCCCCAAAAAACTACGCCCCCAGACTTTTTTCAAACCCCTAAGTTGCGCAAAGTGCCACAGGATTTGATCTGTAAACACTTTGTCCACTTCTGGTCCTTCCCCATGCATGAAAGCCTTCTGGGAAATTAAGTCTGCATACTATCTACAAAAAGATAATAATAAACCCCTGCGATAACTGTATTTTATACATTTTACCATGAAATATCATAAATTTTCTGTTTGATAAAATCTTATCTTCACTGCAGTCAAGATATGTGAAATGTTATATATCTTCACTGCAAAGATTATTAGTTTCAAATTCAGATGAAGTGATGACAAAAAAAGTGCTTGTTTTGTTCTACTTTTGAAACATACATTATTGTATTTACATAACCACACCATTGTTATCATTTTTGTTTGGAAGTTTTACCAGATGATTACGGCAACGGGGAAATTGCATTGAGAACCCCATTAAAAATGGCGCTCTGCATTGTTGTCAAGCCTGACGTCATTAAAACCTGGTGTCAAATAGTATGCTACAAATATAGCCACACTTTTCTGATATAGTTTCTTTAAAAATCGTAATAAAAAGAAAATAACAACCAGAAAACTAGCTTTATGGCAAAGTGTGTATTTATAGACTCGAGAGATAACAACTTCTTTGACAAGTATCCTCCACCAGATATTAACATTTTGTGTAAAATTCAATTTAAAAGGGGCTACGACTGACAGGTTTACCCAGAAGCCAGTGATAGTTTGTTTAAAAGTGCATTATCAAATGAAATCTTTGTGAAATTGTGGATTTTTCATACTTCGTGTACTGTATCTTCTCTCTCAGAAGATGATGTGATTACCAAATTGTTGACATTTAGATATGCAGTTAAAAATTTACATTTTTGTGCCTTGGGAATTATTATGAGTAACAATAGTGTAGCATGTGAGGATATTGAACGTCAACAAAATACTCTTAATGTTAAGATTAATGCCATTAATATTTAAAGAATAAATTCAAGTGTGCAGAATCTGTCCCTCGTGGTTGTTGGACTGTCAGGAAGAGATTTTCATCTTAAGATCTAATGTCCAGCAGCTTTGCTGTATTTTCTTGTTGCCCCTGTGCAAATCCACACACAGTTATTGAAATATATTAAAAGTATACATTTTTCAAAAGTTAAATACTTGTAGATTTAATTCATTCAAAAAGCTGTCGCCGGTTCCTCATTAAAATTCCTCAGTAGCTCAGTAATTAACCGGATCTAAATTTAGATAGGACCTCCAAACATATGAAACACTTGCTGATTGGCTGATTTAGTTGTGCGAGTCCATTACTGTTTCTGGTTCCTTAATTACAATTGTCCATTCACGATGGTGGACAGATAATATGTAGGACGCGCATGTGTGAAGTAAGGAGGTTGGACCAAACATCGCTCCAGGTGAAAAGTGATGATTAATGGTCAATGGTATTGAATTTGCAATTATTTTCCCACCCAATAGCGTGATACATCATTTCAAAATAGCCTTCTGCTATAACAAATCTTGAAGAATTAGTGTTATAACTACAGCATTAACATTTTCAATACAGAGGTGTTCCAATGTCATGAATATTTGTTCTGCTTGGAAAAAGCCCAAAGCTCAAACAGCTCTGTCACACTAGAAAGCCTGCATGGACTTATTACAGATATGTATTTATCAATCAGTACCAAGCTTGATCAGTTCAGTACTGCTATAAAACATACAATCTGTGAATCAATGTCAGAGTTTTCTGTAACTAACCATATATACAGGTGTGACGAAATATCGAGTGTTATCACACTGTCTAAATATATACATAACTATAATGGCATGAAAGTGTTATCATGCTAGCTAAATATATATATAACTATAATGGCATGAAAGTGTTATCATGCTAGCTAAATGTATATATAACTATAATGGCATGGCAGTGTTATCAGGCTGTCTAAATATGTATATAACTATAATGGCATGAAAGTGTTATCATACTAGCTAAATATATATATAACAATAATGGCATGACAGTGTTATATGTCAGAGTTTTCTGTAACTAACCATATATACAGGCGTGACGAAATATCGAGTGTTATCCCACTGTCTAAAAATATAAATATAATGGCATGACAAGGTTATCAGGCTGTCTAAATATGTATATAACTATAATGGCATGAAAGTGTTATCATACTAGCTAAATATATATATAACAATAATGGCATGACAGTGTTATCCCACTGTCTAAAAATATAAATATAATGGCATGACAGTGTTATATGTCAGAGTTTTCTGTAACTAACCATATATACAGGTGTGACGAAATATCGAGTGTCATCACACTGTCTAAATATATATATAACGCTATAATGGCATGACAGTGTTATATGTCAGAGTTTTCTGTAACTAACCATATATACAGGCGTGACGAAATATCGAGTGTTATCCCACTGTCTAAAAATATAAATATAATGGCATGACAGAGTTATCATGCTGTCTAAATATAGATATAACTATAATGGCATGACAGAGTTATCACGCTGTCTAAATATCTATATAACTATAATGGCATGACAGAGTTATCATGCTGTCTAAATATAGATATAACTATAATGGCATGACTGTGTTATCACGCTAGCTAAATATATATATAAATATAATGGCATGACAGTGTTATCCCACTGTCTAAAAATATAAATATAATGGCATGACAGAGTTATCACGCTGTCTAAATATCTATATAACTATAATGGCATGACAGGGTTAGCATGCTGTCTAAATATATATATAAATATAATGGCATGACAGAGTTATCATGCTGTCTAAATATATATATAACTTTAATGGCATGACAGTGTTATCAGGCTGTCTGACTATATATATAACTATAATGGCATGACTGTGTTATCACGCTAGCTAAATATATATATAACAATAATGGCATGACAGTGTTATATGTCAGAGTTTTC